GCGCCGCGCCGCGCCCCGCCCCCGTCACCATGGCCACCGCCGTCCCTTCCGCCGCCTTGCGGCTGCCGCCAGCCAATCACAGGTGCGCGACGCTAACGCCAGGGGCGGGGCAGAGAGGGAGCGGAAGTGAGGGCGTGGCGAGCGCGCGGAAGGGAAGCCGAGACCCCCGCGCCCCGCGAGCTGCGCTCTGACGTGGCCGCACGCGGGTAGTGAGGCTTCTCCCATCACTCCCATTTTATGGAGGACGGGATGGAAGCCCGCGGCCTCACCTTCCTGAGTTGCAACTTGGGGATGAGTTACAGTAGGGAAAATGATGTTTAAAGGAGGATTTCAGAGCACTGTAAATTGCAAATCTTTTGAAATCAATGCCTAATTTTACGAGATAACGCGGACGTCTGTTTGCAAGGCAATTACGCCCTCTTTTGGCCAGCCGGTCTCGCCGCTACAAGCCGATGTCTTGTTTACACCGCTATCTTCCTGTCCTAATCACTGCTTTCTTGGCTAACTAAGCAAGATAAAAGTTGGCAGGATCTTTGCACAACACAATCACAAAGCTCCTCCCAAACGGGCAGATTTCACAAAAGGATTCCCTAAAGCTGATTTCTCTTGCTTGGGCCACTAGATAGTGGGTTGCATCATAGCGTTTGGGGAAATGTTTGACACTTGTCTAGAGGAGTTAAACTATGGTTTAGTCAAGCCCAGGAAAGCCTGAATTAATCGGGTCGTCTTTAAGTGGGCATAAAATAAGTATCCGTAGGTGTGGAATGAGAAGTTGGTTTCTAAGACACAATTGTATATTGTATCTGGGTTGAGATCACTTCTCAGGAGTACAATGTTTAGCACCAAGTAGAAGATATCTAAGAGATTTGCTGATTAGCTGGACCAAGTTCTTAGCAAATTTCCTCATGACACATTTTTTTCTCTATAGATCATACATTTCTTCAAGGTTAAAAGAAGTTGCTCACTCTGCTGCTGAAGCACCTATGGGATCAGAATGGAGGGGGAAACAATTTCATCTGTTCTGGTTATCTATTGCTGTTACAAGTCCCCTGGAAGCTTAGTGGCTTGGAACAAGCATGTTGTCCAAGTTTTGGTTTCTCTGGGGGGCACTTACATGGCTGGGGAATTAATATTGCCTTATGATGGAGAGCTCAGTTGTAGGTGTTGACCAGAGACTGGCTGGGTGGAGAGGACGGGGTGCTTTAATTTTTTTCACACCATGACGCTGGGCCCAAGAGAAAATATTTGAAGCAATGGGAAGTGGAAACTACCAGTCACTTAAAGATGGATGGAAACAGTACCAATCCACTAATTTCTATTGGTCAAGGAGAGAACATCCAGATTCAAAGGGGAGGAAAAGGATGATTATGTCATAGAATGTGTGGCTACCCTTGATCCACTTCCCCATCTCTAAGAGCAAATGGGAATAAAGACAATAGGTATCCATTTACTCAGACACATGCCGGAAACTGCCAAAAAATTACGAATAGTTTTTGTTCCAAATCCTTGAAACCTATTTTTAAAAAAAAAAAACACCACCTAAACATCTTCCAAGATATTTTTTCTATTTTGCAGACTAGGACACCAAGATAAGATGTACTTGCATGTAGGTGAGAGGTGGTAAGAGAGTCTAGCAGGCGGGTGGTTTAACCATCAAGGGCCTGTTTAATCATCAAGCTTCATATAAACTTAATCCTTAGGTTGTCAAATGATTTTTTTTTTTTAAAAAAACATTTTCTGTAGAATGAAATATTATATTGAATATAGTTGATATTTCCCACTAATCATCATCTCGTTACATTTGGGGAGTTAGAATTAAGAATTACTATTTTTTTAAGATTTACTTACTTCTGTATACAAGAACTAGGGTACAGGCTAGAGGAGCGGAGGGTGAGGATTCACCAGAGACAGAGTGGGGAGCAGAACAGGCAGATCTGCTGAAATGTACTGCTGAGGGGAGCAGCAGGCAGGACAGGAGAGGTCTGCTGCGCCATGCGGGTCAGGTCATGGGCAGGGAATGGAACTTGTGTTGCAATGGCTATGGACAGCTTCACAGTGTTATGCTTTAAACCTGCTGTACCACCAGGGAAGGCCCAGAATTAAGGATTATTTTAAGTGAATTGATAACTAAATAAATTTCACTGATCTCACTGTTCATGGACACATTCAAGATGGTTGAATTCATTCCTGTTAAATTATTTTGGCTTCTGATTAAATCAGTTTTCTGGCAAACTGCTTCATCAATTTTATTAAAAAAGTGACAATTCATTGAACAATTTTTTGGGGAGGGGTGGAACCCTAAGTGCATTTTCCTAGTGAATCAATGAAGAGAATACCATCTGTTCCCCCGTGATAGAATAAAAGCAATAAAAGTCTGGCTTTCAGTTGAACACGGCCACTGGAAGGTGGTAAGCCAGAGCTGTGATGTTCTAAATCGAGGGCCTTGTGCCAAAGCTGGACCCCGAGGAGATGAAACGAAGACGCGCAGGATGTGATCCCCTCCATACGAACTTCATCTGTGTCACTCCTTTTATCTTAAAGAAATTGGACAGCATGACCTTCCCTGGTGGTACAACGGGTTAAATTTAGTGCATCATCATTAAGCTGGCCGCAGCCACTTCAGTGCAAGTTCCATCCCCAGTTAGAGGGGTGACCCACATGGCCCAGGAGACCTCTCAAGTCTCACCCACTACTCCCCTCAGCAGTGTACTTCATCCATCTGCCTGTTCCGCTCCCTACTCTGTGTCTGGTGAATCCTCACTGCCTCTGCATCTCTGGTTTGTACCCATTTTGTAGGCATAAATAAATCAATCTTTAAAAAAAATCGGACAGCATATAAAGACTAGAAGACTATACATCACATATGAAGCATGATACGAAGAACCTGGTTATAGTTTCTACTCCTGTCTGCGGGTGAATAGCCCAGAAAGATGTAAGAGACTCTCATTGAATGAATGGACATAAAATTTCTACTTAAGATCAAGTTTGGGGGCCTCTCTGGTGCTGCAAAGGTTAAAGCACAGTATTATGAAGCTATCACAGCCACTGCAGCAGTGGCTCAAGAACCGGACCAGGGAACTGACCCTCACATGGTGCAGCAGACCTCTCCAGACCGTCCACTGCTCCCCTCAGCAGTTTATTTCAGTACATCTGCTTGTTCTACTCCCAGTTCTGTCTCTGAAGAATCCTCTCACCCTCTGCACCTCTGGCCTGTACCCCAGTTCTGTATGCATAAAATAAATCTGAAAGAAATAAAAGATCAAGTTTGAATCTGGTAAACTGATCTTCATAGCTAAAAGGAAGCTATTTGGGGAGTCTAAAAAGACTTTGTGGGCAAAATAGATCCATTATTGGTGATACCAATCCCCATGCATGTTAGTATAATCGTAAATAATGTCAAACTCCATTTCCTAGTGAGTTTTAATCACCTGGGAATTAAGTCTGCAATGGCACTATCATGTCAGTCATTTTTGTTCACCTTATTACTTCTATTTGTTGAAGAGTTTTATACATTGTTTTATGGAAGCCAGCACACAACCACAGTGACATTTAAGCACAGTATCATTAGTCTCTCCCTCTCTATATATATTTTTAAAGATTTATTTATTATGCATACAGAACTGGGGTACAGGCTAGAGGTGCAGGGAAGGTGAAGGATTCACCAGAGACAAAGTGGGGAGCAGAACAGGCAGACTGATGAGGTACACTGCTGAGGGGAGCAGTGGGCGGGTCAGGAGAGGTCTGCTGAAATGAAATGAAAAACCTGGCTTTCATTTCTCCTAAAATGCTCACAGGCAGTGCAGGGTCTGCTTTCTTCTACACAGCCTGCTAGGCCCTAGTTTTCTATCTTCTATGTGAAGTAAATGTTGTCCCCCTTGAGGTAGCTCTGGAATTTCAACTTCACTTCCATCCTGAATGATTCCATTAAGTATTGAAGTCCTTATGTTATGGTCTCAAAGAATTAGAAAAGCAGACTCGTACGAACAAAGCGCAAGGGCAAATTTCTAGCAAGCTGAGAGAGTCCTACATTCCTTTGACTACTGAAGGATCGTCAGAAGTCATGACGCATTCTTGTTTCAAAACCAGAAAGAATATGCCATGACTTTTCTGACAACCCAATAATTCCATTTTCTTTTGTATCCAATGAATTTGCGGATTGCCTTCACTTCTCTGCTGACTTACTTCAGTGACCCTCTACTGGTCTTTTATTTATTTATTTAGGATTTATTTATCTATGCATCTGTATGCATAGATACATATCTATGCATATCTTTGGCCTGGGGTACAGGCCAAAGGTGCAGGGGTGGTGAGAGGATTCACCATAGACAGTGGGGTGCAGAACAGGCAGATTGAGGAAGTCCACTGCTGAGGGGAGCAGCAGGGAGATAGGAGAGGTCTGCCATATCGTGTGGGTCCCCTCTGGGGCAGGGACTCAACTTGCACTGAAGCAGCTGCCACCAGCTTGCAATGCTGCATCCTAATCCGTTGTGCCACTAGAGACTGGCCCTCTACCAGTCTTAATACTATTTTTTGTTTGTCCTTTACCCTGCTCCCCATAAAGCCAGAACCATCTTCTAAAATTATATAAAGGCACTTTTGTGCCTAAACTCCTGCTTTTGATTGCACTTAAGTTAAAATACACGTAATGGCCCTCCCTGGTGGCGCAATGGGTTAAAGCACAGCACTAAGAAGCTAAAGCCATTCTCAGTCGCTGTCCCAAGCCATTGGGACTCCGCATGAGTTCGATTCCTGCCTGCTCAGGAGGAGATCCACATGGTGTGGCAGACCTCTCCTGACCCGCCCGCTGCTCCCCTCAGCCGTGTACTTTGTCGATCTGCCTGTTCTGCTCCCCACTCTGTCTCTGGTGAATCCTCTCACCCATCACATCTCTGGCCTGTACCCCAGTTCCATATGAATAAATAAATCTTTAAAAATTAAAATACATGTAATATCACCTTCACTGGAACATAGTATTCGCCAGTTCAACTCCTATCTTTTTTTTTTAAGATTTATTTTACTTATGCATACAAGACCTGGGGTACAGGTCAGAGGTGTGGGTAGAGAGAATTCACCAGAGACAGACTGGGGAGCAGACCAGGCATATCTACTGAAACACCTTGCTGAGGGAAGTAGAGGGCAGGTGAGGCAGGAGAGGTCTGCTGCGCCCTGTGGGTCACTCCCTGGCCAGGGGCTTGAACTCAGGCAGAGTCCCAATGGCTTGGGACAGCAACTGAGAATTAACTTCTGCACCACCAGGGAGGCCCTTCTTTGACATTTTACTAATGTTTACTTCCTTCAGGGAGGTTTCGTCTGCCTCTTCCTCCGTCTAAGTTGTGGACCTGATTCTCATAACACCCTGTTTTTCTTTCAGGGCACTACCAATTGATTCTCTCTCATAACACCCTCTCAGGCCACTACCAATTCATTACAAATATATTGTTTTACAAATATATTGTTTCTCCCCACTGTCAGATGTAAGCTCCATGAAGAAATCATTTTATACTCCATACAGGCACAGTGCTCAGAGCATATCAGGTGCTCAATAAAGATCTGCTGGATGAATCAGTGATTAACCTTGCTTCTTAACTGTGATGTTTGATTCTCTCTTACCCTGGAAAACAGCCCTTATACCGATAGCATAATGTCTTGAAGCCTTTACAGAAGGCACCAATGAAAGTTGTAAGGTCTTAGTCAAAAAAGGCAAGAATGTTTTATTTCTTCAATGCAAATTACTATATTCACCACAAGCTAAAGAGACCATATGTATATATATATATAT